GGTCGCGATGAAAAGAGTTGACTTTTGCGCTCTGAATGAGCCGGTCCAGACTTGCGTATTCGAGCTTGACAGTGTCCGGAAAGCAACCCGAACAAGTACTCGCTTCTTCGACTTTGATAAGAAACATGAAGCCGCTTCCAACGCGACGCACGGATCTCCACTCAAATCTCTCGCTCCACCACCGCCTTTCGCCGCGCGCAACTCAAAATTGCGGGGAAGCCGACGGTTGAATTTCCGCCCTCTCTGCCCACCGAAACGGCTAGACAGCTCCGACATGCACCACGGCAACTTCGCGAGCCTGAGCCTGTCTTCACATTCAGCCGACACAGCGGAAATTAATGTTGGACTCGGAGGAACAGGCTTTGGTCACGGTGATGACGAGACTCGATTCTGCGATTCTGGCTTTTGAAGATCATGTGGTCAGGAGAAGAGAGCTGGGGATTGGCTGCTGCGAGCTGCGTCGAGTTAGGGCTCAAGCTGACCTCGTTGACGGGCGCCGATGCTGACAGCACTTTATGCCACGGCGGTTGCACTGGCTGCGTTCGCGGTGAGGCTGACCGACGCGGCACTGCTGGGGCTGCTGCTGCTCGACGGTACGCCTGTGAAGGTGGTCAGGTGGCCGGAGACTGTAGCGGTGATGGCCGTGATGGTCCCGGTCGCCGTGGCCTGGACCTGGCTCATCTGGCTCTGCAGCGAGCTGGTGATGGACCTTTGCACGCTGTTGGAGCTGGCCAGCAGCTGGATGCTGTTGGCCAACGAGCGCGGATCACCCCACGGCATCGCAGTCTCGGTCTCTGCTGGCTCGATCCACTTGGTCGCAGCAGCGCCCGTAGACCATGCAGCTTCGAGCACCTGGCCCAGGGTGTCATTCTGCGTCTCCTCCCAGGCAGTGGGGCGCTGCACGACGGCCTCGCTGAAGTTGCCTCCTGCCGGAATCGTCTCGAGTCCTTCCAGCAGCACCGCTGCCATTCCCTGGATCACGTGGTCGTCAATGTGGCAGTGAAGAATGTTGGCCGCTGCATGATCTGCGATGTACCGGATGGCCACCCAAGCATTCGCGTCCATGTCGAATCCATCGCGCAAGGGCGGATTGTCTAGGTTGAAGATGACGCCGGCCGCCTGCGCCTCGGCCACCGTGTTGTTGGGGAAAGGACCTGCGCCAGCTCCGATCACCCAGAAGCGGCGCGAGTGCATGTGGAAGGGATGCGGGCTGTTCGGACCACCCACGATCGAGTAGATGTTGTTTTCGATGATGATGTCGACCACGGTGCCGAAGGGGATGGTGGCGTAAGGATTCATCTGGTTCGACGTTACGTTGCCGTCCGTCGCATTGAAGAGCATCGGCCGCTCGTCTGCAAGATGGACCGTGTCGAGTGGCGTCGATGCAACCTGCCACACGTTGAGGCTGTTCTGGGAGGCGACGGCGTGGAGCGTCATGTTGGCCGTCCTCGGCACGGTGCTGAGGGGATCGAACGGGAAGCTCGAGTTGGGCTGCCATTTGACGACGCTCGCATCCGACACAAAGCCGCTCATCGGCACGTGAGCTGTGGACAGCTCGCGCATCGCGTACTGGAAGTCCTCTTCAAGACCGGGGTTCCACGTGTCGCCAGCATCGTCCTCATACGAAAGGAAGGCGTGACCTTCGATAGGCTGCAGAGCTCGAGCACCTGTGAGGCGAATCGGGAAGATGCTGCCTGTGAGATTGGCGTCCAGCTCCACCATGACACTGAGACGACTGCCAATGGTGACTTGGGCCCAGTCAACTTGCATCGGCTCAATGTAGTGGCCGTCTACGGCGACGATCCACATCCTGTGCGAGTCGATGCTGATACCGTAGAGCCAGTTGGTCGCCTGGTCGATCACCTGCAGATTGAGCCATCGCCTTCCCGCCTTAATCGCCTTGGCCGCACTAAAGACGGTCAAAGGCGCGGTCGTGTTCTGGCACGCGCCTCCGTACATGGTGTCGAGCGTGTCCTTGACCGTGTAACCATCCTTCGCTGGCACGAGCGAGATGCAGCCTTTCGAAGTGGGGCCAGTCGGGTTGATGCTGCTAAAGTTTTGCAGCAGGCTCAACTCCACCGGCGACATGACGGTGGTCCAGTTGCCCACGCAGTACTGACGACCGCGGCCGTTGATGTGCAGCGAGTCGAAACAGGCGGGAGGGACGCCGCTCTCGTGGACGACCAAGAGCATGTCGGTGTGATTGATGTGCCAGTGGTCGGAGAGCGACATGATCTGGAAGTCCTGCTCGGCTGCTTCCATCTGATCGATGTCGTCGGCGTTGGTACTGATGAGGCTCCACGGCTTGCTCCGGCCCGCCTTGGGCCTCACGTAGAAGGTGCCGCGCAGGCCGTCGGCATAGTAGCCGCGTTCGTGACTGTGGTACC